GCAGCAGAGTAGCAAAGCGCAAGGGCAGATGCCTTCACTGTACCTGGTTGTGATCCCCAGGTTGTGCCAGTCAGATTTCGTACAATGTGATTTCTAGCACCCACTTTTTGCTTGATATTCAAGCAGTGCTTCTTGTAGGTCAGAGCACAGTCAGAGCATAGTCAGCGCCTCCCAAGTTGCCCAGTTTTCTGTGTGCCCAGGGGGGAGTCTCTCATTTGGTATCAGCCATTGATTGAGGTTCTGGGTTTGAGGCTGCCACTTTTGGACTCTCACTTGCTGAGGTGTTCCAGTGTGTATCTCTGTAGATCTTAGAAAAGTATTTCTTGATTTAAGTCATTGACGTGATGGCTGATACTCAAACAAGGGATGAGCTGAAGATGCCACTGCCTTGGTCCTTTCACTATTGGCTGCTACTTCCTGGCGGATGTCAGGTGGTGCAATACCGGCTAAACAGTGTAATTTCTCCAGTGGTGTAGGGTGCAGACACCCCGTGATAATGCAGCATGTCTCATTAAGAGCGACATCTACTGTTTTACCGTGGTGAGATGTGTTCCACACTGGGCATGCATACTCAGCAGCAGGGTAGCATAGTGAAAGGGCAGGTGTCTTCACTGTATCTGGTTGTGATCCCCAGGTTGTGCCAGTCAGCTTTCGTATGATATTGTTTCTAGCACCCACTTTTTGCTTGATATTCAAGCAGTGCTTCTTACAAGACAGATGGCCATCTGTCAGGGGTGATTTGAATGCAATATTCCTGCTTCTTGGCAGGGGGTTGGACTGGATGGCCCATGAGGTCTCTTCCAACTCTTTGATTCTATGATTCTATGATTCTATGATTCTATGATTCTAAAAGTCAGAGCACAGTCCAGAGTAACTCCCAGGTGTTTGGGCATGCTGCAATACTCCAGTGGGATTCCTTCCCAGACCATCCTCAGGGCTTGAGGTGCTTGTCTGTTCTTAAGGTGAAAAATGAACAGCATTAAAGACCACAACTTTTTTGGAAATAGTTGAAAGCGCAGCAAATGTGCTTGTTCTGCATTCCTGCAAGTTCCTTTAGTACTGCCATTTGAGAAAGTAGGAAGGTGGTGGGCTAGGCGTCCTCTCCACTCTCCAGAAAGGATTCCTAGCAAATGTTATGACCATGATAACCATTTCCTCCGCAGACACTTCTGCGTTCGTAAAGAATTCTTTGCCACTCTAGATACTGCCGGAATCGCAGACTGCTGTAGGTTCTTTTGCAGCATTACCATGTACATGGACTCTGCCTCCACTTTAGGATTTAAGAATGCTGAACTGGCAGTCCCCATGGCAGCTGAAGGCTACGGCCGGGCTGTGTACACTTGCAGCTCCTGACTCAGCAGATCTGCTGCCTGCCTGGGTAGACCAAGGTATTTGCTTATATTACCAGGGATTACGCTGGTGACGACTTGATATAATGCAGTTGGGGCGGCATAGTGGGATTTGCCCATCTGCAGAGAGGCATTGGGTTGGCTTCCTGGGCTGCCTATACGGCAGGCCAAATGATGAAGCCATAGGTCAGTGGTTCTCAACCTTCCTAACGTCTCGACCCCTTAATACAATTCCTCATGTTGTGGTGGCCCCCAACCCTAAAATTATTTTCGTTGCTTCTTCATAACTGGAATTTCGCTACTGCTATGAATCGGCATGTAAATATCTGATAGGCAGGATGTATTTTCATTCTCTGGACCTTGGGAGTTGTGGTTGCTGGGATTTATAGTTCACCTACAATCAAAGAGCATTCTGAACTCCACCAGAGATGGAATTGACCCAAACTTGGCACACAGAACGCCTATGACCAGCAAAAAATAACGAAAGGGTTAGGTGGGCATTGGCCTTGAGCTTGGGAGTTGTAGTTCACCTATCTCCAGAAAGCACTGTGGACTCAAGTAGGGCTGGGCGGTTTCGTTCGTTAATTCCGTAATTCGTTATTGATTCGTATTTAAATTAGCTTAAGATCCGATATTGAGCCATGCAGGAGCAACTAAAAATCGAATTTTTCAATTTATTTCGTAATTGTTTCGTAATCGTTTCGAAATCGTTTCGTTATTATTTCCGTATGTCTGGTGCAAGTTTTATAGTTGTTGTTTGTTTTATCAGTGATAAAAAAAATAAATTATCACACCAACAGTCAACAACCGAGGGAGAGGGAAGCTTCAGAAGTTCCCCCTGTCCCATTTGGAGGTTTTTTTAGCGTATTGCGCAATTGCGTCCGCCATTAATGAATCAATTCGAAATTTACGAAATTTGGTAAATAACGAAAAAAATTTAAAGAAATATTCGGAATTCTTTTAAAAAACGAAATGCAATGGACCCCCTAAAAACGAAACGAGTTTAGAAACAAATTTTTCCATTGTTACCCAGCCCTAGACTCAAGCAATGATAGATCTGGACTAAACTTGACACAAATACTCAATATGCCCAAATGTGAACACTGTTGGAGTTTGGGGAAAATAGACCTTGACATTTGGGAGTTGTAGTTGCTGGGATTTATAGTTCACCTACAATCACAGAGCATTCTGAACCCCACCGACGATGGAATTAGAGAAGACTTCCCACACAGAGCTCCCATGACCAGCAGAAAATACTGTGTATCCTGATGGCCTCTGGCGACCCCTCCAACACCCCCTCGCGACCCCCCCAAGGGTCCCGACCCCCAGGTTGAGAAACACTGCCATAGGTGCTTGGGTGTGATCCTGGATTCATCACTGAGCCTGGAACCTCACGTTTTGGCGGTGACCAGGGGAGCCTTTGCACAACTAAAACTTGTGCGCCAGCTGCGCCAGTACCTTGGGAAGTCTGACTTGGCCACGGTAGTCCACACTCTGGTCACATCCCGTATAGATTACTGCAATGTGCTCTACGTGGGGTTGCCTTTGAAGACGGCCCGGAAGCTTCAAATGGTCCAACATTCGGCAGCCAGGTTGTTAACAGGAGCATACAACAGAGCATACAACAGAGCATACAACTCCTCTGCTGCATCAGCTCCACTGGCTGCCAGTTTGCTACCACGCTCAATTCAAAGTGCTGAACCCCATTTGGGAGTTGTAGTTGCTGGGATTTATAGTTCACCTACAATCAAAGAGCATTCTGAACCCCACCAACGATGGAATTGAACCAAACTTGGCACACAGTTCTCCCATGACCAACAGAAAAAACTGGAAGGGTTTGGTGGGCAGTGTCCTTTGGTTTTGGAGTTGTAGTTCACCTACATCCAGAGATCACTGTGGACTCAAACAATGATGGATCTGGACCAAACTTGACACGAATATTCCATATGCCCAAATATGAACACAGATGGAGTTTGGGGAAAATAGACCTTGAAATTTGGGAGTTGTAGTTACTTGGATTTATAGTTCACCTACAATCAAAGAGCATTCTGAACCCCACCAACGATGGAATTGAACCAAACTTGGCACACAGAACTCCCATGACCAACAGAAAATACTGGAAGGGTTTGGTGGGCAGTGTCCTTTGGTTTTGGAGTTGTAGTTCACCTGCATCCAGAGATCACTGTGGAATCAAACAATGATGGATCTGGACCAAACTCTACACGAATACTCAATATGCCCAAATGTGAACACTGGTGGAGTTTGGGGAAAATAGAATCTTGACATTGGGGAGTTGTAGTTGCTGGGATTTATAGTTCACCTACAATCACAGAGCATCCTGAACCCCACCAACGATAGAATTGGGCCAAATCTTCCACACAGAACCCCCATGTGGGCCACAGCAACGCGTGGCAGGGGACGGCTAGTAATTATATAATTATAATATAATAACATAATTATGTAATATACTAATATAATGTGCTGCAGGATGTACCTCCTGCAAAAACAAGGTTTTTGCAGTTTAATATACTTTCTCCATGTTTTTATGATAGAACCAATTAGGAAGTGACAGCGGGTTATCTTCATGCCCGCTGCCTTTTGCACGCCAGAATCACTCGATCCCTTATCTGCTCCGTTGTATGCTCTGGATCCCTGCTGCTATTCCAGCCAACCCTTGTAAACCTTGCCCTTATCAGCACTTGGACATTTGACATAAACCTACTTAGTACTGGGACATGAATGGAGTAAATTGTATACACATGTCTTTGACTGCCCACAAAACTACACAGGAGAAGCAACCTATTGTTCGGATACGTATCTGTCCGAACGTATCTCCCTCTACGTCCCACCCCGGAATTTGAGATCATCTGGGGAGGCCCTGCTCTCGACCCACCGCTATCACAAGTAAGGTTGGTGGGGACGAGGAGCAGGGCTTTCTCAGTGGTGGTCCCTCACCTGTGGAACTCACTCCCAGGGGAAATCAGGGCATCATCATGATCATCTGGGGAGGCCCTGCTCTCGACCCACCGCTATCACAAGTAAGGTTGGTGGGGACGAGGAGCAGGGCTTTCTCAGTGGTGGTCCCTCACCTGTGGAACTCACTCCCAGGGGAAATTAGGGCATCAACATCCCTTCTCTCCTTCAGGAGGAAGGTAAAGACGTGGTTGTGGGACCAGGCCTTCGGGCAATCTGACAACTAGATATGGACAACCAGATGGATAGGACTGACAGGACTGACAATTGTGGAATTGGAATTTGAACTATGAGATTGCGAAACGCTGACCGTCAATGAGGAGAAATGGTTTGTATTGGTTTTATTGCTTTTACTGGTTTTATGGTTGTTTTCGCCTTGCAAGAATTGTTGTTTCTGTTAATTGATGTTATTGCTAGAATTGCTGTTTTCTGTTAATTGATGTTATTTTGTCTTATTGTTGTTATGTGATGCGGGCATCAAATTGTGCCTTGCTTTTGTAAGCCGCCCTGAGTCCCCTTCGGGGTGAGAAGGGCGGGGTAGAAGCAACCGAAATAAATAAATAAATAAATATTGTGTCATCCCGAGGTCCCACCTGCAGTGCTGCAATGCCCAGCTCCAGCTCCCTTTGGTTCAAGGATGCTATTTGTTGGCACACGGACTTCCGAACGCTCACTCACCTGCCACCACTTTGCAGTGTTCCCCTGGGACCCCCAGCTGGACAGGGCGGGCCGATTGAGCGGACCTTTTGCGTCTGAGGAAGTGCTCCTTCCCATCGAATGACACCTCCGACGTGTTCACCGGATGTATCTGCACTTGTTCCGACTCAATCTGGATCAAGCCAACCTGTTCACCAACAAAGAAATTGTTCTTAGAATCACATTGGGAGTCTCTGAACCATTCAGCAGGCAGAAACACAACAAGCAATGGCTGGCATAATATTCATTGGCGATGAAATCATAAGCCAACCCGGTAGCACAGTGGTTCTCAACCTTCCTAATGCCGTGACCCCTATATACCATTCCTCATGTTGTGGTGACCCCCAACCATAACATTATTTTCGTTACTACTTTCATAACTGTAAATTTTCTACTGTTATAAATCATAATGTAAATAATAATATCTGATATGCAGGATGTATTTTAATTCACTGGACCAAATTTGGCACAAATACCCAATATGCCCACATTTGAATACTGGTGGGATTGATTTTGTCGGGGGGGGGCTTGAGGGGCTTCAGCCCCCCCCCCCCGAAATTCTCATGGTGGTTCGCGAAAAGGCCTTACTGGTGCATTATTTAAACTGTTATGTTTATTCATATCATGATCTGATCACCATACTCAATATATCCCATATGGATGGGGGTATTGGGGTAATGATACAAAAGGTTTGCTAGGCTAGACCCTCTTTCACTCAGACTCAGCCCCCCAACTCAGCCCCCCCGAAACCCCCCCTGAAAAAAATTCAGCCCCCCCCCAAAACGAAATCCTGGCTACGGGCCTGACCCCTGAAGTTGGGGAGGACTGATTTTGTCATTTGGGAGTTGTAGCTGCTGGATTTATAGTTCACCTACAATCAAAAGCATTCTGAACTCCACCAATGATTGAATTGAACCAAACTTGGCACACAGATCTCCCATGAACAACAAAAAATACTGGAAGGTTTGGTGGGCATTGACCTTGAGTTTGGGAGTTGGAGTTCACCTACATCCAGAGAGTCAAGCTAGGATAGATCTGGACCAAACTTGGCACAAATACTCAATATGCACAAATGTGGACACTGGTGGAGTTTAGGGAAAATAGACCTTGACTTTGGGAGTTGTAGTTGCTGGGATTTATAGTTCACCTACAATCAAAGAGCATTCTGAAGCCCACCAACAATGGAATTGAACCAAACTTGGCACACAGTTCTCCCATGACCAACAGAAAATACTGGAAGGGTTTGGTGGGCAGTGTCCTTTGGTTTTGGAGTTGCAGTTCACCTACATCCAGAGATCACTGTGCACTCAAACAATGATGGGTCTGGACATGCAAGTGTGGAGAAGAGCAAACCATGGCCACCTGCTGCAATGCAACCTGAGCCCTGCTACATGCACAATGGAGGACCTTCTTATAGTAACACCAGAGGCACTCCAAGTGGCCAGATACTGGTCAAAGGACATTTCATCAACTACCAAGCTTGCAAATTTTGTGGTTCTTGTCTGTTTGTTTGTTTTGCTCTTTTAGAAATGTAATACAATTGCCTGGCTGCCCCTCACACGACAAATAAAATAACTGGGAAAGAGCAGCAGATGTCACTCCCCAAAATCCAAATCAAAAACATTTTGGAAAAGTTTCAGCTGGATTACGGCCTGGTTGAAGAGGTATGGCATTTAGGGGGTGGCATCATCAGATGTAGTGATGATAAAGAACCTAGAGAGGCCTATTATCATAACTGCCGTTCGTTTTCCGGTCCCAATTCAAGGTGCAGGTGCTTACCTACAAAGCCCTAAACGGTTTGGGACCTGCCTACCTGCGTGACCGCATCTCCGTATATGAACCCACATGTTCCCTCCATTCATCTGGAGAGGCTCTGCTCGCGATCCCACCTGCGTCACAAGCGCGCTTGGTGGGGACGAGAGACAGGGCCTTCTCTGTGGTGGCCCCCCCTGACTCTGGAACTCTCTCCCCAAGGACATCAGACAAGCCCCAACGTTGGCAGTCTTTAGGAAGAGCTTGAAGACCTGGCTATTCCAGTGTGCCTTTCCAGAATAGGAAACTCCCAGCATCATGTCCTGGACGCACTTTATTAGAGCTGTCTGCACATTATTAATTAATTAATTAATTAATTAATTAAACTTTATTTGTACCCCACTAGCATCTCCCGAAGGATTCGATGCGGCTTACACAGGCCGAGGCCTCAACACACCACACAACACAACAGTACAATCTAAGCAAATCAAACAATTAAAAACAAATAAAGCAAAATAAACAACAGACACAATACACTAAAACACAATAAAACTGGGCCAGGCCAGAGAATGGGTCCAAGATTAAAAGTGCTGATGTGACAGGAGGTGTATACAGGGCTTCTAGGGCAAGTGCGATGTGCAGCAATCATTGGTTCTGATAAAGTGCTTCTGGGACTTGGTAGAGGAGATTTCCTAATCTGGGAAGGCGCATCGGAAAAGCCAGGTCTTCAAGTTCTTTCTGAAGACAGCCAATGTAGGGGCCTGTCTAAGGTCTTTGGGGAGGGTGTTCCAGAGTCGGGGGGCCACCACGGAAAAGGCCCTATCCCGCGTCCCCACCAAGCGCGCTTGCGACGCCGGTGGGATCACGAGCAGGGCCTCTCCAGATGACCGAAGTGAACGTGTGGGTTCATAGATGGAAATGCGGTCACGCAGGTAGGCTGGTCCCAAACCGTTCAGGGCTTTGTAGGTAAGCACCTGCACCTTAAATTGAGCTCGGAATATAAACGGCAGCTAGTGGAGCTCCTTGAACAGGAGGGTTGACCTCTCTCTGTAAGGGGCCCCAGTTAGCATCCTGGCTGCTGATCGTTGGACCAGTTGGAGCTTCCGAGCCGTCTTCAAGGGCAGCCCCACGTAGAGCACATTGCAGTAGTCCAATCTGGAGGTGACCAAGGCATGGACCACTCCGGCCAGATCCGCCTTCGCGAGGTACGGTCGCAGTTGCCGCACCTGTCTGAGTTGTGTGAAGGCCCTCCCAGACACCGCCGACGCCTGAGCCTCAAGCATAAGTGATGAATCCAAGAGGACTCCCAAACTGCGGGCCTGTGACTTCAGGGGGAGTGTAACCCCATCCAGAACAGGTTGCCACCCTATACCCTGGTCAGGTTTACGATCGACCAGAAGGACATTGCACCTATTCTAGAATCCTACATTTCACCTGTCATGTCCAGCACTTTTAAATGTACCCATTACATTTGGCCCGGCCCTAGTTTTTAAATGTGTCACGGTGTATTGTTTTATTGTTTATTGTTACTGCTTTAATGTTTTTGATTTGCTTATGAGTTATATAATGTATTGTTATGTTGTTGTTTTATTGAGGGCCTTGACCTTTGTAAGCTGCATCGAGTCCTTCGGGAGATGTTAGCGGGGTACAAATAAAGTTAGTAATAATAATTATAATGTTTGGGTCGCCTTTAGTGAGGAACTGAAGCAGCAGCTTGGGTGTGATCTTGGACTCATCGTTGAGCCTGGAACCCCAGGTTTCGGCGGTGACCAGGGGAGCATTCGCACAGTTAAAACTTGTGCACCAGCTGCGCCCGTACCTTGGGAAGCCTGACTTGGCCACGGTAGTCCATGCTGGTTACATCCCATATAGACTACTGCAACGCTCTCTACGTGGGGTTGCCTCTGAAGACTGCTCGGAAGCTTCAAATGGTCCAACATCGGCAGCCAGGATGCTAACAGGAGTGGCACTCAGGGAGCATACAACTCCTCTGTTGCGCCAGCTCCACTGGCTGCCAATTTGCTACCAGGCACAATTCAAAGTGCTGGCTTTAGCCTTTAAAGCCCTAAATGGTTCTGGCCCGATCTACCTGTCCGAATGCATCTCCTCCTATGAACCAGTTAGGACATTAAGATCGTCTGGGGAGGCCCTGCTCTCGGTCCCGCCGGCTTCACAAGGCACGCCTGGCGGGGGCGAGAGACAGGGCCTTCTCAGTGGTGGCCCCTCGGCTGTGGAACGCCCTTCCTACAGATATCAGATGGGCCCCCTCCCTATTGGCATTCCGGAGGAGAGTGAAGACCTGGATGTTCGAACAGGCATTCAATCAAGCAGTATAATTGAGTGTAATTGACTATTGGAACACGGAATAATGGATAATGAAATTGGATTCTGATTTTATTGATGAGATGTGATGGATTTGTTATATTGATGTATTGGTGTCTAATTAATTGCTATGCCAAACACGAATCAAGGAACATGAAAGGCACTGCAGACTACTTCAACCAGAGAAGTCAGCCATAGCAGAGCACCTGATGAACCAACCTGGACACAGCATATTATTTGAGAACACAGAAGTGCTGGACCACTCTCACAACCACCATGTCAGACTACACAGAGAAGCCATTGAAATCCACAAGCATGTGGACAATTTCAACAGAAAGGAAGAAACCATGAAAATGAACAAAATCTGGCTACCAGTATTAAAAAAAACTCTAAAATTACAACAGCACAACAGCAGAGAGGAAACAACCAGGCACATCTTAACACCTCTCAACAAAAGGTTTTCCCAGGCTCAGGCAGGCCTTCAAATGCTAATGAAGGTGGATCAGCTGAAACATTCACACCTAGCTCTAGCAGAGAAGAGCTCTTTGCCCCACCCCAGCCATTCCACAGATATATAAACCCATTGTCCTAATTCCAACAGACCTCACTACCTCTGAGGATGCTTGCCATAGATGCAGGCGAAACGTCAGGAGAAATGCCTCTAGAACATGGCTCTATAGCCTGAAAAAACCCACAAGAACCTAGTGCTATGCTACTGTTTTTAAATGTCCAATGATTTCCTATTGTGTATACTGAATTATTGTTGTTAACCGCTCTGAGTCGCCTTAGGGCTGAGAAGAGCGGTATACAAATAAAGTAAATAAATAAATCATAATTGTGTGTGATCTTTACTGTTGGGAAAAGCCCCCAGCTCTGTACATCACAACATTATAACAAAACTATGGTTGACAATCATTGAACACTCCAACATGTATATCTCAGTGTGGAGATATGCCAAAGTGGCTTCATTCATTTTCTCTTTCTGTTTCTCCGCTTGTTCTTTCCCTGGTTGTAAACAGTACACACCAGATGGTTCCAGACTGAGAGGGAAAGAGAGGCATTTTGAGGGTTTTT